TCTCCAGTTCATCACAGGGACACCTGGACAGGTCTCCAGTCCATCACTGGGACACAGAGACAAACAACAATTCACTCTCTCACTCTCCTAGAGACAGTTTAGAGTTACTGTCAGCCTAACATGCATGTTTTTGGTCTGTGGGAGGAAACCCACGCAGCACGGAGAGAACATGCAAACTCCACCCAGAAAGGCCCCGGCCAGGGATTTGAACTGGCGACCATCTTGTTAAGAGGCAACAGCTCTACCAACTGATCCACTGTGCTGCTCTGTGTTTTCTTTGTTTTATTTTTATTTTTTTAGACTAGCCTTTGTGTACAATATAAATAGTTATGGCACGTCAGAGAATATTAATATAAAAAAATCATTTTTATATTAATTAATTCAACCTTTATTTGTACAGTTAGTCTCATTGAGCCTCGAGGACTCATTTACAACAGAGACCTGATTTAAACAAAGAATGATGACAACAGTAGGCAACCTTAAAAAAGTATATAACATGAAAAGTAAATCCAAGAAATTAAATAAAAAGAAACAAACAGCTGCATTATAAAGAGCTGTAGAAAACTAAAAGCAGGAACATGTCTGCGTTAATTTGTCCATGAACTGAACAGATGTTTGAAGCTTCTTAGAGGTCAAAGGTCGAGAGCTTCAGATCTTTTTACAAGATATTCCAGGAAACGGGAGCGGAGTAGGAGAAGGTCCTTTTGTCTAGTTCAGTCCTCACTGAGGGAACACTGCAGGTAATGATGTCCTGAGAGCGCACGCTGTAGCTGCACTCACACAGAGACATGTAGGAGGAGATGTATGAAGGCAACAGATAAATTCAGTTTATTTCTTTAGCTCCAAGTCACAACAGAAGTCGTCTCAGTTCACTGAACAGAAACATTCACACACATTATAAAAGTCAGTCAGTAAAACTGATCTCAAGAAGCAGCAGGTTGTGTTGAATCTTCACTTCGTCACAGTCTCTCATCCTGAGCAAGAACAGAGGAGACAGTGGGAAGAAAAACTCCCTTTAACAGGAAGAAACCTCCAACAGAACCAGGACCAGGACGAGCGAACCGGCTTGTTTGAGAGGACAGGAAGTAGAAACAGACACAGAATGACAGGTCCAGGTGTGGTTTCTAATAATATTACTTTATTTGTGTAGCACCTTTCAAACAAATGTTACAAAGTGCTTCACATTAATCAATTAAAACATCATAAATGACATCAGAAACACAAAAATCATGTTAAGATAGAAATAATTACAAACGGGGTGAATAGAGCAAGTAAAGACAGCAGCAGAGAGAGAACATGGGGAGTGGTGGCGCAGAGGTTAGAGAGGTGGGCCTGTGATCCAAAGATCGCCGGTTCACGCCCCGGCCCCGACAACATCAAAATTGTGGGAGGGGTAGGTGAAACACCCACACTTGCCCCCACCCTCGTTCGCCCCACTCTGGGCCCATGAGCAAGGCCCTTAACCCCCACCATGTGCTCCCTAAAAAACAGGTCTCTCTTGAAAATAAGTTCTCGTGGCTCAATGAGACTACCTGGATAAATAAAGGCTAAATGAAAAAAACAAAACAAAAAACATGTGGTCAGTTTGTCCTCCTGCAGTTAGTCTAAGCAGAGTTCTGCTAAGTCTTAGCAGAACTAAGGGATAGCTCAGAAACCCAAGCCGACCCCAACTATAGGATGATCAAAAAGGAAAGTCTTAATCCCAGTCTTAAAACTGGACAATGTGTCAGCCTCACGGACAGAAACTGGAAGTTGGTTCCACCAGAGAGGAGCCTTGTGGAACTTCTCTCCTCGATCCTCCCAGGTTGGATGTGGATACAACCTGGGAGGATCTTCCTCCCATTCTGCTTTTGGAAACTCTAGGAACCACAAGTAAACCTGCAGTCTGAGAGTGAAGTGCTCTGTTAGGAAAATATGGAACAATAAGATCTGTAATATAAGATGGAGCTAGGTTGTTGAGAGCTTTGTAGGTTAGAAGTCAGATTTTGAATTCTATTCTGGATTTGACAGGGAGCCAATGGAGAGAAGCTAATACTGGAGAGAGATGATCTCTCCCAGTAACTCCAGTTAAGACTCTGGCAGCAGCATTTTGGATCAACTGAAGACGTTTTAAAGAAGTATTTGGACACCCAGATAACGAACCATTGCAATAGTCCAGTCTAGACGTGACAAATGCATGGACCAGTTTTTCTGCATCATCTTTAGATCAGATGTTTCTAATTTTAGTGATATTACGCATCAGATCAGATCAAATGTTTTAGATGTTTATTTTTATTTCCTTCAACCAGAACTTTATTCACAAGTTTCATTTTAGGGAAAACGAGACAAAACCTTGAATGTTTTTTAATTTCAGTTTAAACCTTGAAACAAAACTCTGAATTCTTCGCTCCGTTCTTGATGTTTGACTCCGCAGCCTCTGCTCTGTCTGTGTTTCAGGAGTACGCCGAGTGGAAGAAAGAGGCCACCGACATCTCCCTCCCTGGCATCTACATCGGCCTGATGGACCGTCTGAACTCCTTCAGCCGGGCCGTCGTAGAATCCACGCAGGAGCTCTGTGAAACGCTCGTGTCCTCGTACATCGAGAAAGTCAAGGCGACGTGCAGAAACGGTGAGAAAACCGGAGAAATCTCTGCAGAATGTGCAGCGAAACGTCCGCAGGCTTCCTTGAGTGATTGGGCGTGTTCACACTCGTGAAGCATTTTTAGCCTCGTGAGTCACCTGCTTGTCACGCACATGAGGTCATCCAGAGCTGCAGGAATACTCTGAATATTTCTGTGTGTCCGGGTCAGAATCAACCATTTTATTTTCTTTAACTTCAGACAGAACTGGAATAAAGATAACGGTGGACACGACGAGTGAAGACGAGCCCAACAAGCCTTTACCGGATCCCAAGACACGCGATGACTTCCTGAAATGTAAGTTCTGTTTGGGATGTTTGGCGACAGAACCTTTATCTGGTCTGGTCGGGTCCAAAACAAAGAAAAGCCTTTAAAAAAGATGCAGAAGCTAATATTCATAAAGGTGCTGTGCTCAGGACTGGAAGTGTGTGCTCAGCAGCAGGGGCGATTCTAGGATCTGACCTTCAGGGGTGCTTAGCCCCCCCGTACTGACAGTAGCTCTTGGCTTGAACAAGGCACCCCATGGTGAGGTTTGTGAGAAGAGCTCAAGCTTACAGCACCTGGTATTAGACCAGGCGGTCTCCCACCCAAGCTCTAACCAGGCTCGACCCTGCTTAGCTGCAGAGATCAGGCGTGTTCAGGGTGGCATGACCGTAGATGAAGAGCTCCGTCACAAACTTTTAAAGGATCAGAGCAAACAAAGACTAAACTTATGCAACCAGAAGTTACAACATACACACAAAACACACGCACAACTAGCTTCAAGCATTAACCTTTAATGTAACCATTAACCTCTGACCGCAAAGTGTTTGTAATGCAAATCTCCAACAATGTTGTCAGAGGAAAAGGGGGTGGAGCTCCTGCAGGTAAGGGGCGTTTACCTTCGGGACAAATTGAGGTCGCTGATTGGTCAGTTGTTGACGAGCGTATTGGGTTGATTGAGAGGTGGTGTTGAGGATCCGACTCATGCCAAAAAATAAAAAAAATCATAGATTTCCCTGTTCTCTTTAAGATTGTCATCGTTTATTCCATATTTATTTCAAATTTATTCAATATTTTGATAAATTTAAAGTTTGAGAACTGTTTCCTTAAAAAATCCAAATGATGTTTTCTAAAGTTCTCGGGTGCTTGAGCACCCCAACAGAGGCTAACGCCACCACCGCTCAGCTGTCTTCTCTGCAGCATCACGGCTTTTTATCCGTTCTGTCGAGGCTCTGAAAGTGACCGCAGCAACTTGTGAACAAAACGAGCCGAGCGCTCCGTTGACCGTGTCTGCAGGTCTTCTTCAGATTAAAACCTTTTTACAGTTTGGAATAACTGAGCAGCAGATTATTAAAATGTAAACAAAGGGACGGCTGAAGATGTTTGTCTTGTGCTCCTGTTGGCTCCTCGCCGGCAGCAGCGGTGGTTCTGGGCTTTACATCTTTAAGTTGCACAAACAGAGAAACTAAAGTCTGTGTTGTGTTTGCTCTCCTCCTTTATGTAACACGACCGACATGTTGGTCAATCCTCCACAGACGCCGCCCACGTGAGTTTCGATGCCGACACGGCTCACAAGTTCCTGCGCCTGACGGAGGACAACAGGAAGGTGACCAACACCACCCCGTGGCAGCACCCGTACCCCGACGTACCCGAGCGCTTCGAGAACTGCCGCCAGGTTCTGGCTGCAGAGAGCTTCTACCTGAACCGGCACTACTTCGAGGCGGACGTCAGCGGCGAGGGCGCGCACGTCGGCCTGACGTACAAGAGCATCGACCGCAAAGGCAGCGAGAGCAACAGCTGCATCACGGGGAACAACTTCTCCTGGTGCCTCCAGTGGAACGGACGCACCTTCTCGGCCTGGCACAGCGGCGTGGAGACCCCGCTGAACGTGGAGAGGTTCACTCGGATCGGGGTTTTTGTGGACTACACCCGAGGCCTCATCGCTTTCTACGGCGTGGATGAAACCATGATGCTCATCCACAAATACGAGGCGGAGTTCCTGGAGCCGTTGTATCCGGCTGTCTGGTTGCCAAAGAAGGAGAACGTTGTCGTCTTGGTGGCTCCTGGGGAGACGTTACCTCTGAAAAGCCCCTCCCCTCCCACCTCACCTGCAAACGGAGCTGTTGTTGTACCGACTTAAGCTCGGAGGTTACAAACTGCTGACGGGAGAAAAGTGCACGCTCTTTACACGTTCAACTTGTTTACAGCTGATTGTTTTTGATGCAAAGTGAAGTTTTCATCTCTTTTGTTACGTGGACCCAATGTGCCTTTTGGAACTGCTGTCACTGGAGATGTTCTATATTTTCTGTTCGCAAATAAAAATATTATTTAGGAAAATCTGTTTTATTCATGTAAATCTTTCACTGCATCAAATAAACTATTTATGAGAAGAAATCACAACATTTTGACTTCTGTTGTTACAATAGTTTATTTGTATAGACCTATAGAATAAATTTAAGTTAGATGTGTGGATTAAAGAAAACCCACAAACTAAACTTGTGCACCAGTTTTTGTTTTTTAAAGTTTTTAAAGTTGTGTTTTTTATTATTTCACCCTGGTTAAAAGGTTTAAATGAATTATTAAGAGGGCAGTTGAAAACCATTTCAGTTAAAATAAAACTTAAGTTTTAGCAAATAAAATGCTAAAAGAAAATGGTATCAAATTTAGTTCAATTTCAAAAAAATGTTACAACTTAATTTTTTTACCCTTAGGTAAAATAGTTTTCCAACACTACGTTACCATTATTATTATTTTTCAAATCTTTATTTAGAACTTTACTTCAAATACAACAATCTAAAAAATACACACTAGATAACATTGAACATGTCAAAAAACGAAGAAAAGAGGAAGCAAACAATAATAATAAAAACAAAGATAATTAAATGTGAGTTACAAAGTTAAATTGTATTCATTACAGATATCTTGTTTTTATAGCCTTTTTGTTATTTGAGTCTGAGATTGAGTCCAGATACAGTTTTACATCCATTACAAAGATCAAAAAACGGTTTCCTATGCATTCTTTAATTTTATGGATATGGAACTTGGCAAGAAACAAGATCAGATTGATAATAAATATGTGAGACGAGTCTTTCTTCTTGAAATCTAGGAGACCCAACAGAACATTTTCGAAACAGAAGGAAACCTGGTTGGATATTATTGGATGTCAGAGCAACAATGTCCTTCCAAAGGTTCTGTGAGTATGTACACTTCCAAAAAAAGATGAACAGATGTTTCTGGATAGAAGAACTAGGTTACCATTAAATTAATTTAAAGAGGGCTGTAGTGACGCAATCACGTAGGAGCACGCTTCGGTCACGTGACTCCTCTGTGTATTTTGACGTGTAGCAGAGCATGTAACCAGGAAGCGCCTGCCCAGAATTCAACATGTTAACAGGAGTAAGTGATATAATTTAACTCTTATTGTTTAAACAGTGACTTGTTAAAGAAACCATTGAAGGTTCGGTTCATGTTGGGAAGAAAAAAATTCCCGAACTTTTCCTCCGGAGGCGGACAGCTGTTCTGCTAATGTTGCTAATAGATTTAGCATGCTACATGTAGCAGCAAAATTATCTCACCTTTTTTTTTTAAACAATTAAGTTTATTTATTTATTTATGGTAACTTCACTTTAGTATTTTTTCAGTTTGTATTATACTACGGTTAAACATATAGTTTTATATTACTTTTAAAACATCTGTAGTGTTTGGATGTCATCTAACTAACTGTGGCTAACGTTAGCTTGTCCGTCTTAATTTTGTTTACAATCATCAAAACAGAACAAAGTATAAATTAAACGAACATAAGCACCTGTAGCAAGACTGGGTAATAACTCTAGTGTTAACCCTGATCAGGATTCAGGACTGAATGTCAACCTGAATGCTGTGTAGCTGCTAGCAGCAAGAAACTGACGTCAACTCTTTGGTAACGTTTTAAACTTTGTCTCCACTAAATCACCACCTCAGTTTTCACCGTTTTCCTTCCAGCGAGACAAACTTTCATGTAATCTTTGGATCTAAGTTCGTCAGGGTTTCTGTAGGTCCTTCAAATAGTTACTGCTTTCCAAATACAAATAATGTGTTATGTGTTGTCATCATTGTATGTTCCCATACAATGGAGAAATTGGCTCTCTGCTTTTAACCCATCACCACCAGTTAGAGCAGTGGGCAGCTGTGGAGGGCGCCCAGGGAGCAACTGGGGACAATGTGTCCTGCTCAGAGACGCCATAGGATCGAGCCCAGGACCTTCGGGCCCTGAGTCGGCTGCCCTGCCCCTACACCATCTCAATTTTACTTTAGGCTTTACAAGTTTTTTTAATTTTTAAATTTATCTTTTATTTATTCAGGTAGTCTCGTTGAGCCACGAGAACTCATTTTCAAGAGAGACCTGTTTAGGGAGCAGATGGGGGTTAAGGGGCCTTGCTCATCGGCCCAGAGTGGGGTGAATGAGGGTGGGAGCAGGTGTGGGTGCTTCACCTACCCCACCCAGGTTTTTGATGTTGTCAGTACCGGGGCTTGAACCGGCGATCTTCCAATCACAGGCCCACCTTCTTTAACCTCTGCACGACCACTCCCACCAAGTTGTCTTTTTAAATAAAATGCACACAGTCAAATTATTACTAAAATATATAACTTCATTCAACTTTATTTAGACGGTAAATCCCACTGAGCCTCGAGGACTCATTTACACGAGAGACCTGGTTTCAACAAAGAACGATGACAACAATGGACAGTTATAAAAAGGCATACAGATTTTTTAATTTTATTTTTTTTACAAATAAGATGGCAAAAGAAAAACTATGAAGATTTGTTGATGAGCCGTTTCTTTGGTTAAAAAGTCACATTTTATTATTTGAGGACTGATGTAATTTGTGATAACGTTTTGGGCTTGTTTCAACAAAGAAAATAAAAACATGGAGGAAATTATTTATTTAAAATAGATGTAACTGTCAGTTTAAGATGTTCAGAGTTTTAAGTAAAAGTCTGTGTGTATTTGTGACACTGACCTTTGACCTGTCCGTATGTGGACACGTTAGGACTTTAGTCTCATGGTAAAGCCTCTTCCTTACTGATCCCTCAGGATGCCAACGATGAAGACGTGTCTCTGTTTGATGCCGAAGAGGATGCAGGAAAACCATCAAAGAGGAGCGTTAAGTAAGTTTTCCTGACAGGTTGAAACTTCTTCTGTTTGAGAGAAAATATTGTTCAGTGTTTGGGGTCAGTCAGCTCTGAGTCGAGAGGTTTCAGGTTTGGACTTGTGCTCACTTTAACACTTGTTGTATTTGATGAGGAACAGAATATTTCAGTAGTGATCTCTTTGGTGTGGTAGAACAGGATAACTCAAAAAAGCCCAACTGGTCATTTCCTGTAGAGGTCGTGACCTCCTTCTCCTTTACCCGACATTCAGCTTCTGGGGCGGGTGTCTCGGTTCTGTTAACAGGGCGGGCCTCTCGGTTCTGTTGACAGGGCGTGTCTCTTGGTTCTGTTGACAGGGCGGGTCTCTCGGTTCTGTTCTCGGTTCTGTTAACAGGGCGGGTCTCTTGGTTCTGTTAACAGGGCGTGACTCCCGGTTCTGTTGACAGGGCGGGTCTCTCGGTTCTGTTCTCGGTTCTAT